GCCTCAGCCTCCTGAGTAGCTGGGATTACAGGCACGCGCCACCATGCCCAGCTAATTTTTTTGTATTTTTAGTAGAGACGGGGTTTCACCATGTTGACCGGGATGGTCTCGATCTCCTGACCTCGTGATCCACCCGCCTCGGCCTCCCAAAGTGCTGGGATTACAGGCTTGAGCCACCGCGCCCGGCCTGAGTGTATGTTTTTTTAAAAGATGTGGTTGATTTTTGGCCTGGCGTGGTGGCTCACGCCTGTAATTCAAGCACCTTGGAGGCCAAGGTGGGTGGATCACCTGAGGTCGGGAGTTCAAGACCAGCCTGACCAACATGGTGAAACCCTGTCTTTAAAAAAAAAAAAAAAAGATGTGGTTGATTTTTGCTGACAGGTGATAATAGGTTAAAAATAATAATAATCCCACAGGCCCAGGCTTTGAGAGTTTCTTTGGCCATCTAAAGGCTGTAAGAGTTTGTTCTCGGTGTTCACAACCAGCTGTATAACAGAGCACTGCCTGTGCATGAAGTAGTGAATCACTGCTTATGTGACTTGTCATGCATTCTGTTACATACTAAAGAACACGCCGGGCGCGGTGGCTTGCACCTGTAATCCCAGCACTTTGGGAGGCCGAGGCGGGAGGATCACCTGAGGTCAGGAGTCTGAGACCAGCCTGGCCAACATGGTGAAACACCGTCTCTACTAAAAATATACAAACTGGCCGGGTGTGGTGGCTCCCTCAGGCAGAGGCTGCAAACCCAGCTCCCCCATACTCGGGGGGTCTCAACGCTCTGCCACAGTCCCCACAAATCTCCAGATACAACCAGGATGTGGCTCCCTCACATCCCTCGTTTCAGTCACTCTCTCCCTGGAAAATCCTAACCTTGCACCATCACTGGTCCCCTGTGCACCCATTTCTCAGGGCAGCAGCCAGATGGACCTGCAGAAAGCTCCGTCTCACCAGCCCCCCTCCACCTGAAACCCTCCCGTGGCTCCCCTGAGCTCGCACAGTAAACACAGAAATCCCTGCCACCCCAGCACCTCCTCAGACTCCCCAGAGCACCTAGCATGTTCCTGAAGCACCCAGAACCTCCCCAGAGCACTCAGCACCTCCTTACAGCATCCAGCAGCACCCCAGAACACCCACCACTGCCCCAGAGCACCCAGCATGTCCCTGAAGCACCCAGAACCTCCCCCAGAGCACTCTCAATTTCCCAGGGCACCCAGCACCCAGCAGCACCCCAGAACACCCACCACTGCCCCAGAGCACCCAGCACCTCCCCAGAGTACCCAGTGCTCTCCAGAGCACCCAGCAACACTGGCTGCAGGGCCTGTGCGCAGCCTCCTCCAGCTCCTGCAGGCTTGGCTTCCCTCCTTGACAAACACCGCCCTCTGCCTCATTTTCCCTACCAACACGTGACTCAGTGCCCGGCCCACCCGTGGACCACAGATTCTCACAGGTGTAGCCCCATCTGCCTGGCTGTCTTTTCCCTACAGGAATACATGGAGCCTCATGGATGATTTCACAAGATTAAGGGTCTGGCCTGTTTGGTTCAAGGCTGTGGCTCCCGCATCTGGAACAGTGTCTGTGGCTCAACAGGTGTTTGCTGAGTGAATAAAAGTGACAGAAGGCCGAGCCCCGTGGCTCACACAGGTAATCCCAGCACTTTGAGAGGCTGAGGTGGGAGGATCTCCTGAGGCCAGGAGTTCGAGACCAGCCTGGCCAACATGGTGAAACCTCATTAAAAAAAAAAAAAAAAAAAAAAAATTACAGGCCCATGCCTGTAATCCTAGCTGAAGCAGGAAAAGCACCTGAACCTGGGAGGGGGAGGCTGCAGCTGCAGCATGCTGAGCCCAGGCCAACCTCCCATTTTGGGATTACAGGCATAAGCCACCGTGCCCGGCCACCAAGGTCATATTCTGAAACCATGACCCCTGATATGGTGGTGTTAGGAGGGGCCTTTGGGAGGTGATTTGGGTTAGATGAGGTCATGAGGGTAGAGCCCCCACGATGAGATCAGTGCCCGGGTAGAGGGTGAAGGGACCAGCACTTTCTCTTGGGCTCGTGAGGACACAGTGAGAAGGTACTGGCTTTGAACCAGGAAGCGGCCCCCTAAGAACCTGACCCTGCCAGTATCCTGATCTCACACTCCCAGCAGAGTGATGAGAAAGCAAACGCCTATTCTGGAAGCCGCCTGGTCTACAGCTGCCTGTTACGGCAAGCTGAGCTAAGACACTGTGCCTCAGTTTCCCCCCATAACATGGGAGCTGTAGTGGGTGTGTCCTGGCCTCGGAGATCACCCGTGCAGAGGTGTTGCACGGCACTCACAGGGCTGTGTGTATTTGGTCACAAGGCTGGGTCACACTGAGAGCAGCCAGTGCCTGGCCTGGCTGCGTGGCTCAGAGGACCCTGGGCCTCCAGGTTGACCTCCTGGGTTGGAGGGAAGAGGTCCTTGCCCCTCACTGGGGTGGTACGGGTCCTCTGACCTCTGTCTGAGGGTTTTTGACTGTGGCTGCAGCCTGGGCGTGGGGGCACACACAGCTTCTCCAATTTGGGCCAGTGCAGCCTGGGTTACATGACGTGACTCTGAAAATCCAGAACGTCATGTGACGTCTCCAGGTGTTTGGATGGTGACTCACTCACACAAAGATGGATGAGTGCCTAACAGGGCCCTGTGAGATCCCTGCCGAAGAACCGAGGTCCCTTCACGAGGAAGGTGTGGGCAGACAGCTGGGGAATGGACCACAGAGGGACGGGCCGGCAGTTCTCACATGTGCGGAGGTCACGGGGGCTGGGCGGGCTGAAGGAGGCTGCCCTGGACGAGGTCTGTTCCTGCAGCGTCCTCCGAGCTGAGATCCGCTGGTTGCGTCTTTCCCAGCTCTGACCTGGGGAGAACACCCTGGGGTGCAGGAGCTGCAGAAGTGGCCCCAGGGCAGGCAGCACCCCCGAAGGATGCAGGGGACTCTCATGCCATGTGTGCAGCCTTTGTGAACACGAGGTCCCCCCACACGACAGTACACACTGCCTGCATGGTCCTCACCCGAGAGGTGCAGGGCCAGGAAAGCGTTTTGGACTCAGGTGTTTCGGAGTCTGGAGCACTATATTTGCATTATGTGAACAGGTTGGGCAGTTTCTTCCGCTTTTCTTTTTTTAAATACTGCCTCTTGGCCAGGTGTGCTGGCTCAGGCCTGTGATCCCAGCACTTTGGGAGGCTGAGACGGATCACCTGAGGTCAGGAGTTCGAGACCAGCCTGGCCAACATGGTGAACCCGTCTTTACTAAAAATACAAAAAATTAGCCGGGTGTGGTGGCGGGTGCCTGTGATCCCAGCTACTTGGGAGGCTGTGGCAGAAGAATCACTTGAACCTGGGTGGTGGAGGCTGCAGTGAGCTGGGATCATGCCACTGCACTCCAGCCTGGGTGACAAAGTGAGACCCTGTCTCAGAAAAAAAAAAAGTGAAATCCCAAGTGTGCACTCAGGCAGCCCATCTGTGCTCACAATCTCGGGTTTCAGAGCATTTCCGACTTTGAATGTGGGGTCAGGGCAGCTCCAGGTGCACGTGTGTATGGAAAGGTGGGGCTCCCAGGCCCTGCTCCAGGGACCCAGCACAGCCACCCTGCTGACAGACGGAGGTGGGCTGCAGCGTGGGGGGCAAGTTCAGAGCAGTCCCCCTCTGCCTATGGTTCCCCTGTTTACCGGACGGGCAGAGGAGGCTCTTGTCAGGGAGTGTTTGGGCTCTAAAACCACCGCCCCACAGCCAGCCCTGCCGATGCCAGCACCCGGCCCGCAGACAAGACCCACAGCCACTGTGCTCTGTGGCATGACTTGGGTGTTGGTCCCATGGGCTGGGCCATCTCCCCAGCTGCCCAGCGTGGGGTCCTCCCTGCAGCCTGCTGGGCAACAAAGTGTGATGAGGAAACACGGCTCGGTGCAGGACAGAGCCAGTGTCCCCATCAGATGGGAGGAAGGTCGTTTCTCCAAACTGGTCTGATAGGCAGGGATTCTTCTCCCCACAGAGAACAGACCATAAACAGCCAGGACAGAGGATGCGGCCCAGTCCATGAGGCCTGGCCTGGCAGCCTTGTCCTGGGACGGGCGCCATCCTGGGATGGGCCAAGGGGGCTGTGGCCTTGCACCCCGAGCAGCCCCAGCCGCTCCCTGTGCTGGGCCTGTGGTGAACTTTGTGCTATGCAAGAACAATCCTCTGCCTTCCAGTGGCCACCTCCTCATCCTCACTCAGGAGGCCCCCAGGCCCTCCCCAGCCCAGCGCGGATGCTGGTGAGCCAGAGCCCAGGCCCTCAATCCGTGGCCTGGTAAAGTGGGTATCTGCGCCACAGAGACCGGAGCACCCTCCACTAGCGGGAGGGAGGACTGGGCCCCGCAGAGCAGCATCGGCTGCAGCCTCTGAACAGCCAGAGAAAGCAGGGGCAGAGTGGGTGGACCATGAAGCTGGGAGCAACGGGAGCAAGTGACAGAGCTGCTGGAGCTGGAATAAGCCCCTCGCAGGGAGCACCTGCCCCACCTCTTGGGTGCACCCAGGTCCCGGTGCTCGCCGCTTGGGACAGGCTAGTGCTGCCAGGCACAGTGTCCCAAGTGGCTCCTCAGGCACTTCCCACACTGGGAATCCGCCCCACCCAATGTGCTGCGTCCACGCCTCCTGAAACTGACCTGGCCCAGCCCTGCTTGTAGCACGCAGGCTTGCCCCAAGCTGGGCCTCAACTCTCCCATCCGTGAGAGCAGCATGGGGACCCATCAGGGCGTGAGGACTGGAAGAGACACAGCACGGGAAGGGCTGATGAACCAGGCGACAGACCGCTCAGACCTCCTAGGAGGGCCCCACCCCAAGTGCAGGTGCATGGGCCTCTGGTCTGGGCCAAGCCCCTTGAGGCCTGAGGGCACCCCCCCATGGCCCCGGAGCCCCCAGGCGAACTGCTACAAAGCAGAGAGAGGTCGTATTGGTCTGGAACGTGTCACAAGGGAGATGTGCCACAGCACCACGCGGGGGGCTGTCTGTGGGGAGGGCTGCCCACTCGGGACCTAGGAATGGAGGCCCTGTGGGCCGGCGGGAGCATGGGGCAGCAGTGTGGGTGGGGTTGGCAGCGCCAGCGTGCAGACAGGCGGCCCCCCAGCCAGGGATGCCCCCTCCAGGGCCGGGGGAGGCTGGCGGCAGTGAGGCCTGACCCGGCACCATCAGCCATGCAGTCACCGGCGGACAGCTCAGTCCGGCCACCCGAGTCTGCGCAGCGCTGGGTGGGCAGTGCCCTCTGCTGGCCTTTCCGTGCTGGCGTGGCCCGTTGTCCTCCCGCGTGGGGGTGGCCTGTCCTCCTCCCCCAGAGACTCCTGCGCGGTCCTTGTCCTCTGTGGCCAAGCTGTGCCCCCGACTCTGTCCTCTCGCAGGCCCGCGCTACGTGTCACAGCGCCGGGGCCTGGGCCGCTGCCCACAGCAGGGCGCTGGGTGACAGTGGCAGTGGCGGCGGCGGCGGCGGCGGCGGCAGCAGCAGCAGCAGCAGCAGCAGCAGCGTGGCGGCGGCCACCAGCGGGCCCGGGGCCCCGGGGAGGGAGGAGGCCCGGGAGGTGCAGGAGCAGACCTCGTAGCCGTCCTCCGAGCGGCTCTGGTGGTGCTGTCCCGGGGGGGCGCGGGCCCCGTCCGCCCCGTCCACGCCCGCGGCCTCAGAGCTGTCAGCCTGCGAGTCTCCACACACCAGCCAGTCCCGGGCCGTGGACTGCGGGTACCCGGGCGCCGCCTCCAGCTCGCCGTCCAGCACTTTCCAGTACTCCTGGCCGCGGAAGAAGTAGGAGGCACCTGAGAGAAGAGAGGGCGGAGCTCAGGGAGGGGCGGAGCTCAGGGAGG